ATTTACAATTTGATATGTAAATTGGCCAAAACGAATACCTACGTGGTTGTATAAACTGAGTTAAGATGCAGGCCCGATGTCCACATTTTATGCTACGGCTAAAACGTGTGCCAACTTCTAGCCTATAAGGTGTTGCATGAGTTAAGGAGGGAATAAGAGTAATTTCGGGTAGATTGGTGCTCTCTTTGTAAATTCATTCTTATTCTGGGCTCTCAACTCCTCTCTTGCTCTAAATGTGGTTGGTTTGCCAAATTTCCTGAAGATTTTGACCTAGCTTGCAGTAATTCAATTGCATGTAAGTAGGTGATGCTCTTCAAAGTGAGTGATCAGTGTTGCAATTTGGAAGAGATACGCGGTCATTGTGTGACGTGAAAGAAGTAAAATGATTCTTCAATAGTCGAATGATTTTAAAGTGTGCTGTTTGTTTGGCTCAACTCTTGTAGGTAAAGGTGTGGTTCCAAAATCGTCGAGCGAAGGAAAGGAAAAAGTGGAAAATGGGAATCAGTGGTGATCATGGTGCTCCTTCAATGCCAGAGTTCACAAATACATGTTCCGCAAATGTGTGCAGCAACAATGAAGTCAATTGGCACTATCAAACTTCAACTTATTCCTTCTATCACAATCCGACCATACATGGGCCTCTACCTCAACAACCCTTAGGAGGGAATCACATGGCAAATGGGAATGGCATTTCCGATACGACGTTCACCAGCTACCAAGAACCCTCTTCCTACCCACCACCACATACTCATTCGAACGCTAATTTTGAGTCTTACCTTTGATGGATTTAAACCAGTTTTTTTACTAAGTTCGTCAACGAGGTTGCGTTTAATATATTTGGTTTCTTGAAATTTTGCTTCAAGGATTTTAATTTGCTTCCGACTGTGGGGTGTGCGCCTCCTTCGCTGCCCTGTGTAAAATGAAAGAGAGTTGTAATTAATTAAGAGGAGGATTCAAATCATTGTTGAAAACCAAATCTGTGATCGTTGTGGCCCTATCTCTATCTCTAAGATTACCTCTTCACAAGCACACAACCGAAGTCTGGAAATCTCAAATCAGACATTACTGATATGGTAATCTGGGTGTTTGTTGAGAAATCCTGCGAAGCCCAGCTGGCTGTTACTCCAAGTGGACAAATTCAAACATTTGCACCATCGGGTCTAGAGTTAGGTCGATTCTTTGCTGAAGATCTGGACCGGGACGGAAGTAGTGCTGTAAAAAAAGGAACTCTTTTGGCTTTTCTCTACTGTGTCTTGAGCCCTAAACCGGCTTTTATCCCAAATGACCTACCCCTCCTCCTCCCTCTCCCCATCCTGTTCAGATGCAGCACGCAATACAAACTTTACCTCCCAAATTGACCCACTCAGTTGACATTTCATCTACTTAATAGGATCACATTAGAGGTGACAATTAAGTAGCTCTAAGGTCAAGTTGAAGTGATTCCAAGACTTTGAACAAATTAATTAAGTGTTACCAGGAACATGGTCAATATTTGGAAGTTGGGACCTTAATCAAGCATTGATTAATTCAATTCCTCTATTTTTAGAGTGGCATTCTTTTCTATTGAAGCGCTTCAAACTTGAGCTTCATGGGTATTACTCTAATTGAAAATAAATAAATAATCATAAGCACCAGATAACGTTATTGACTTAATAAAGTAGTAATTTAATGTTTTACATTAATCAATGTTAATTAATTTTGGGTTTAAGAATTCCTAAATTGTGCTCAAAATTCATTCCTTTAAGGCCAACTGGGAAGATACCTAAGAAGACCCAATATAGGAACATTTCAAGCTGAACAAGAAAATGGAGCCGCTCCTTCATCTTCATACAATTTCTTTCTTCATGAAACCCACTGGTCAAGTTCATGAAACCTTTGCTAATTAAAAATTTGTCAAGAAAAAATGTTAAAACTTTGCTGAGATGAGGCCTTCGCCAGTCAATCGCATAAAAGAACCTTTGGATGTCTGAGCAGATTTTATAACTTCGAGAAAGTTTTACTATTTTGAGTGAGAAAGAAATGGGGTTAGGAACATCACTATTTAGATAGCATCCCACCAACTTCTAACGTTTTCTAACTCACTAAATATTTTCACTTGTGATTGGTTAAGTTTAAATATCCCCAAAGAAAACGAGACTTCAAAAATGATTCAAGAAATTATAGAAAATGAAGATGCCTCTTGAAATTGAATCAAGATGAAGGGTAGGAAGATTATTGAGCGAATTCTTTTTAACCACTAAGAACAAGAAAGTGTGCAAAACGTAAACAACATTTGTAACAACACCGAGAATAGGTAGCACG